CGGGGGGCTTCCGGCCCGCCGCCCGCCGCCGCGGCCGCTCTGTGCCTGCGGGGTGCCCGCCACGTCCGACGCCCGGGAGGTGCCCGCCGGGAGCCGAGGCCTTTGCGTCCCCTCCTTGGAACCCGGGGTGCTCCCGCACACGACCTTGGGCAAGCCACTGGGCCCCCTCTCTGCCTCAGTTCCCTCATCTGTACACAGGGCTAATAACACCTGGCCGGGTGAAGGGGGGTCCTGCGTGTGGCATGAGCCAACCAGGTTGGAAGCACCCCATGGATGGTGACCCACTGCTATCATCATCATCATCCTGGGGTTTGAACGCCTCATGGTTGGCTGGGGAGAAGAGCGGGAGCCGGGTTCCCCACCTCTCACCTGTTAATTAGAATAGCCACCTTGTCCTGACCTGAGCTATCCGAGGTGGACAGTAGTAACAAACGCCACTCAGGTCTGGAGTCAGCCTGACCTCCCTTCCAGCCTAGGTGCTGAATGCCTTCCCCACTCTTGGCCTCAGTTGTTGCATCTGTAAAATGGGGTTACTGTGAGTATGGAAGAGGTCAAGTCCTCAGGGAGATCCAGGGCCCTCACTCCCGTCTCCATCTTCTTGGTATGACAAGATGTTAAACAGGAGCACAGGCCAGGAGAGACTCCAGAGGGCTGCGGGATGTTGGCCAGCAAGTTGGGAGGCAGGAAGGGTGAAGGGTGAAGGACTACCGGGGGGCGTCCTTCCTGTGCTGTGTGGCCTGAGCAGGTTGGCCACCCTCTCTGGGACTTGGTCTCTGCATCTGTAGGAGTGGACTGCATGAGGTAAGGGCACTTACCACCTCCCTCCTTTTGATCCCTGTATCTCCTTCTCCCACTCAGGACCTTCATCTCACCCTAAACTACTGGCGTCCTCCCACCCCCGCCCCCTGCCACAGATAGCCAGAGGCTTTGCCATGAGGATGTCTGTCACTCCTTGTGACCCTTCCACGGCCTCCTCACCGTGGCTCCCAGGGCAAGGCAGTCCTTTGAGACTCAGACTGCGGTCCAAGGACCAGCAGCATCTGTATCACCTGCTGGGAATGCAGAATCTCAGGACGCACCCCAGGCCTACTGAATCAGAGTCTGCAGCTAAACAAGATCCCTGGGTGATTCGTGTGCGCTTGAGAGGCTTTCTGATCTAAACAATCCTATGAGGGAGGTACTGTTATTATTACCAGTTTACACCTGGGAAACTGAGGCACAGAGAGGTTAAGTAATTTGCTTAAGGTCACACAGACCTTATAGGTCACTAAATAGTGTCTGGATTCCAACACACAGTCTGACTCCAGGGCTCATGCAATGAAATCATATCATTATACTGTCAGTTGTCATGGGAGGTGATGAGCTCCCTGTCATGAGAGGGTGGGTGCCCATTTGTCAGGGAACTCCTGTCCTGGCTGGGAGGTTGGGATAACAATAGCTACCAAGTATTGAACATCTACTGGGTGCCAGGCACGTAAGTCAGGTTCTCTCCGTTCAGCCTCCACAGGCACCCTCTGAAGCAGGTTTTAAATCCTCTCTTTGCAGGCGACTGCCACTGAGGCCCAGAGACGTGAGATTTATGGTCCACATCCCTCTGGGTGGACCTCTAGGTTCTGAATGGGCCACTCTGGTCCCTGCTCCCCCCAACCCTGCCCAGATGCCTCCCTTCCAGCCGGTGCCCAGAGAAGGCGGTGGCTATTTAAATCCCTCAGGTGTGGCTACCGTTCTCTCTGCCCAACCAGCTGGCATCTCCTTCTCAGCACCCACCTCCTCCCCAAGCCAGGGAAAAGCACGTGCATTTGCCATTTGGTGAAACATCTGTCCTCCTGAGAAGCAGCCCCGACTGCCAGCGGGGGGCTGGAACAAGGCTAGAATCCTCCTCCTCCCTCTGTTTCTCCAGGGAGACCACAGCAGAACTGGCCAAGGCCAGGGGAGGTCTGCGGAGGGACCACCATGGTGGTGGAGAGGAAAGGACCCAGGCCGGGTGGTCCCAGGGCCAAGATCCTGTCCTGGGCCTGCCATAGTGGTCTTGAGGCTGCCATGTCCCCTCCTTGGGCCTCAGCTTTCCCATCTATTAATGAGGATAATGAAGACAGAAGTATTGCTGATGGGTTGCTTAGTCCTCCTCGCATCTGGTCTTCCCAATCTCCCTATGAAACTGATATTCCCCGTGTCTCAAGACAGGGAGCCCATCACCCTCATTTTACAGATGAGGGAACTGAGGCTCAAACTTGTCTCTTGCTCCCCCAGGTCACACAGACCTCCTCTCCCCACTGTGTCCTTAGTACTCAGCCCTGTGTTTGTCACACCTACCCCATCTTCAAGGTGGAGCATTTTTCAAAGCTCCCGGTGAGGAGGGAAAATCCCCTACCCCTTGGCTCTAGCCCCTGCCAGCGCTCTGGCCACTGCACCATCAGACACTGATGCTGTCCCTGATGCTGGCTGGTTCTGGGCAAATCCCTCACCCCTGCGAGTCTCGCTTTGCTGGTACCCAAGATGTGTCTGCTACAGGAACGCAATCGAGGGGAAGACAAGAGGGAAATTTCCTTCACTCAAAGGGCAAGGATTCTTTTTCCCTCATTAACAAAGCAAATTGTATGTTCAAAGTCAGATTTATGGGAGAGAGAATGGGGGAGTTGCTCAATTATAGAAAAAAAGTATATATAACCTTTTTTTTCTTCCCTTTGTTATATTTCACCACTATATTGAATACTCTGCCAACTGCCTCAAATTCTGCGCGGAAGGAAAGTATGGCTGTAAAGTGAAAATCATGAACCTGCGGACACTCCACCACGTAATGGGCTGCCTCTCGACCGGCAGGGCCCTGGAAGGAAGGGGGAGCTATGGGTCCCTAGGGGCCGCTATGGCGTCTTCCGGCCTCGGCGAGTCGACGCTCCCCTGTGGAAGGAATGAACTTTTCCCAGGCAGCCCTGAGGTCCCGCCCGGGAGGCGCGGACGAGTCCATTCCCTAAGAGAGTCGGGGTGACCTGAGGGCAGCCTTTCTCTTCTCGCGGTTCCGCCCCAGGTATTCCCAAAGCTCTTTCCCGGCTCGATATCTTTGATTGACATGCGGCAGGGCCAGTGCGGGGTCCCATTTTTGCAGAGAGGGAAACCAAGATTCCAAAACCTCTCCTCCACTTTCAGTTCCAAGTACAATTATTGAAGACCAGCTGTGTGCTGGGCGCCTTGCAGGTTGAATGTAGACGCAGCCTTGAGGAGCCCTGGGGCACTGTGGGTGGCGAATGTCTGTGCGTGGGTTGGATATGGCTCAGACGAGAGAGTAATTACCTCGGGTGTGGGGAGTCGGGAGGAAGACTGCAGTTAGGAAGGCTTCAGAGGATGCCCTAGTGGGTTTTGAAGGATGAGTAGGAGCTTGCCTCAAGGACAAAACCTGGGGGAAGAGGGAAGAGTCTCAAATAGAAGGAACCACATGCGCAAAGGCGCAGAGATAGATACGACCCGCCCTCCCAGCGCATTCTATTTGTACCGCAGAAAGGGGCCAATGAACGCGTAAAAGAAACAAAGAAAAGAATGATCATGGGTAGACACACCTTTGTTCCAGGCTCAAGCTCCACCACGTACGAGCTGTCCAAATTTAGGCAATTTATTTAATCTCTTCGGGTCATAGCGTTCTCACCGGTAACCTGGGTATAAACCAAGTACTGACTTCATAGGGTAGTTATCAGGGTCACAGTTAGCTAGGTATCTAAAGCGCTTCGCAAGGAACAAACCATGCAACAAACGCCAGCATCTTGCTCCCCTTTACCGGGCACGAGGCCCAGAGAGGGCCGGGCAAAGCAGAGCCGGGAGAAAACACGGAAATTCCCTGTCCTCAGAAGGCAATCACTCTCTCACCGGTTTATTCCCGGAGAAGTGCAAAAAAAACAATGAAAAACAACCTCTCGGCCCGAGGAAACCTGCTGGGGCGCTGGAAGTCTTGTGTATCTTGATCCGAGTGGTGGTTGTTACACGGGTTTTATACATATTTTTTTATTTTTTACATATACATACATACATTTTATACATATACATATACATATTTATACATAAAAATCCAAAGAGCAGTACTCTTAAGATGAATGTATTACTTTGTAAATTACCTCAATTAAAAGGAAAAGCAAAAGAATAACATAACTCTGGCCGCGACGCCCCCTCCCCTCGCCGCTGGCGACAGCCGTCTTTCTGAGACTCCAAACGCCACTCTCCGCGAGCGGCGCAGGCCCAGCTCTCTGCGCCCCAGCGCCCGGAGTCCGGCGCCGCGCGCCGGCCCGGCGAGGTTCCCAAGACAACCGCAAGCCGCTCGCCGTGTCTCCCGAGCGACGAGGCGCCAGCGAAGACCCGGAGCCCGGACTCCTGAACCGGAAGCACGGGGCGAGGCTGGAGAGAGACCGCGGCTCGCCAAGCGCGGAGGGGAGCGAGTCGGCGCCCTGAGTCCCTGCGCTGGCATTCCGAGGTCATCCGGCAAGCACGCTCTGACTGTGGCCACAAACTGCTGCTCAATATACCCCTGGGGATTCACTCTCAGCTTTCCAGGTGGGGAGATGGAGGGCTTGGCTGCTCCCCAGTGTCAGAGGGCGAAATGACGGCCAAAGCCAAGCCCTGCGCCCGGTGGCCTGTTTTCCAGCTTGTGCAGCGCAGCCGAGAGGAAGGCACGTAGGACTGGTGCTGGCACCTCCTTGGGTTCTGGTTCCAGCTCTTCTAGAAACTTGCTGTGTGGTCTTCAGTCCCCTCTCCTGTCTGGGTCTCAGTGATGGGACAACACCACTGTCTCAGAGTAGCTGTTACCGA